TAAATGTACTAATAACATATAAATAGAATGTATATATTTGTCTTCCAGATATATTAATATTTTTATGTTTTGCAAAAATAATTATAAGCCATACAGGAACAAATCTAGAAGCAGTTGCAGTTCAGAAATCCTAGGCACAGAACAATTAAATAGAAAACTCAGGGTCTCGCAAGGAAGGCGGCGGCAAACCTGAGGTTAACACTCAGGTTTATTTACCTGATTGATGAACGATTCCTCTAGTCTGGATGTATTGTATTTACATGTGAGGTTGTCATAAAATTTAATAGTGAATCCTACTGCAAGAAAAAAGAGACACAACAGTCCTCTGTGGACAGTTAAACTATATGCAAAACGTTTCCTCCTGGGAAAATCTGAAAAGTATAATGGAACTTCTGTTAGACTACAACTATGCTCATGTGTGTTCTCAAACACATTTTGAATTACTTTTTGTAGAAGTAACCATTTTCTTATCATTTACTTGTTCCAAGACCACTGCAAGACAAAAAACACACCTGTGAAAGAAATTAACTGAGCAACACACAAAAAAGACAGAACAGGTGATGGTTATGTGTCTTTTATTTGTGACATTGGGATTCCCAAGCTCACATGAATCGATTTCATAAATATCCTTTCATTTCCTCTTGCTTTTCTAATTGATGTAATTGTGTTAGTTTGTTCTTAGAGTGAAACCCTTAATTTAATCACAAATGGAACTAAAATACACTAAACATTCTTTCTTCTGATGCAGTTAGAAAAGATACAGGAAAACCTTGAAATTAGAACACTAACAGCTAGTAACACAGCTTAAATGTCAGATTAGAAATGGACTCTCCCTAAAAGTTACAAAAATCCTTATTTATTCATCAAAAATTTCCTATCCAGAATTAATAACTGCCCAGAGGGAAACAACCTGTTATAAGTTTTTGGTTGTTGACATACTTTTTAAAGCAGGAAAGAAACTGTCTATTTCCAAAACACTTTGTTTGGCTAATTCTAGGAGAGAAACACCTATTTTTTTTCAAGGACCAAAATGATCCAAACAAAATGATGACAGTATTACCCAAGTAACATATCTGAGCCCTTGTGATTTTGCCTTTGTACACATTTCTGGAAGACATGGCTCTACTTGGCCCATGATATTTCTTAGATTCACAGTGTGATACCCACGGGGTGTGGAAGTGATGGAAGGTCAGTGACCACAGGGAATGATGTGCTTCCATTAAGGACCAGATAACGACTCGGCCTACATCACCACGAAGAGATGAGAGGCACTCTCCATCCAAGTCTCTTAATGCTTTGCCAAGTAAAGAAGGGATTAAAACAAAATAGCGCAATCTGATGAGGCCTGTTAAAGGTAGATATGAAGGCAACTCAGGAAGATAAACCAAAATGGCTGAATATAATATAGACATAGATTTAGTGTGGACTAATAGAAAAGAAAATTTATAAAAGTCTAAAAAACAAGTTGGGACTTAGCAAAGACATGACGGTTTGGAGAAAGCATGTGGTACAACCACTGTTGGTTGCATCCATAATCCACAGGGACATGGGAAGTCTAGTGCGAATGGAGGTGGAGATGTTAGCCACTGGGCAACAAGGCTTCCAAATTCTGCCCTTGGAGAGCAGAAGGGAAAGGAGGCTGAAGGCCATTTGCTAACAGTCTTCAAATACTTAATGGATATGCAAATAAGGCTCTCATTTATTATGCTTCATATCCTAGATAATCCTTGGATCTTTTTTTTTTTTAAGATTTTATTTATTTATTTGACAGACAGAGATCACAAGTAGGAAGAGAGGCAGTCAGAGAGAGGAGGAAGCAGGCTCCCTGACGAGCAGAGAGCCCGATGTGGGGCTCGATCCCAGGACCCTGGGACCATGACCTGAGCGGAAGGCAGAGGCTTAACCCACTGAGCCACCCAGGCGCCCCTCCTTGGATCGTTCTTAATGTGAGAACCTAGGAAAGGTGTGCTGAAACCCAAAGATCTGGCTCAGGTTAAATGGAAGGATTACAGATGCTGTGAAGTGTTCTGTGGGACACACCAAAGGATGTTGTGGAATGTCTATGCCTGAGGCTGTGGAGAGGAGAAGGAAGTTTTCACTGGGAATGTTACTGATACAGTTTGGGAGGGTAGAAGGAACGTATTAAGAAATCTGAAGTTGCCTCCACTCATCCTAGACGTCAGAAATGAGGAAACACCCCAGGAAGAGAGAATTAACACCGAAGCAGCAGAATCTGACTCTGGATGAGTATTTCTCAAACGTATCTGGTTTTGTTTTTCATTATCATCCTCCTAAGGAACCTTTTAGGAAATTTAATTATTAATCATCCTCATGAAATTTTAATACCACATAGACACTTTATACCTACTATGGCCCTTTGAGGGGCCACACCCCCCCTGTTTTATCTAAGATGCCTCCCCGCATCAAAAAAACAAACAAACAAACAAACAAAAAAATTGTGCACCCTTGAGCAATCACCTTCAATGAGAATATACACTCTCTAAAATAAACCATGGGTCTGAACTGGACATCACTGAGAATGGGTGAAAAAAAAAATTACATTCAACTCTGGCTACAGGGCCCATACAAATTCTCATTAGCCAGTACTTCTTCCTTCCCCTTCTAATGTAGTGCCCTTCTTCCTTCCCCTTTCCTCTGTTAAGTGGGAATTTATGAATCCTCTATCATTGCTGTATCATTTAACTGCAATGGTTATAATCTTTTGGAGAACCTGGACCTCTTTGAGAATATTAAGAAAAGAATGCACATTTGCATAGCCTCAACCTCTATAAAATGCGTGTGTGCTGAATTTAAGAGCTTCCTAATGAAATTTTTACCTTTATGATGAATGGATCAGGTCGACAACACCTGAACTCAGAGGCCAAGCTTCATATCATGAAAAGAGATGAGTAGACATTATATACTTCCCGACAAATGCAATAAGAAGGACACATCACTAATGTAGTATTTTCCTTAAAAAATATGTTTAACTGAGTCTAATAAAGAGGAAACCACCAGGAAAAAAAAAATCCAGATCATGGAACATTCTACAGAAAACCAGCCTGAAATCCTTAATAATGCCAGTGTCATCACACACACACACACACACACACACACACACACAGCATCACCACCCACCACCACCACACCACACACATACCAAACAGGAGAACTCTAACCCATTAACTAAAAAGAATGACAACAAATGCCACGTGTAATTCCTAACTGGATGCTGGATAAACAACAACAAAAAACTATAAACATTTTGGGGGCAAATGACAAAGTATTTTAAAGTTTTATGATGTCTGCAACATACTTTGAAATGGTTCAGCAATAAGAATGTATAGTTACAGAGAAAGAGAAAATATATGGAAAAAGTCAAGAATTTCAAAAATGTTAACAACTGATGCATGGAAGTGAAGGGGACATGGACGTTCATTGTAATCTTTTTGAAATTTCCACTTTGAAATGTCTTAAAAAAAAAAAAAAAGGTGGATACATGTGTTACCCAGCTAAAAAAAAGTAGTGGGAAATAAGGGAGAGCTCATCAGGTGAGGAAGAGGAAGCAGCAGGTTAGGCTCAGACCCAGAAAGCCAGAGGGGCCCAGGCCACTGCCAGGGGCTCAGCTCCCCCCTTTGCAATGAGATGTACTTAGGATGTCATCAGGTCAAAGAGATGAGAGTTACCTGTAATGATTCTCTTTAGAATTTGCCAAACAAAGTTCTGCAGGACTAGGAATACTCTAATTAAAAAATAAGAGTGGTTTGCCAGAACATATCTTAGAAGAGCTGATGAATGCAATCAGAAATATAACCAGGAGGAAATTGTGCCAAGAAGCTTAAAAATATTTGGTCTTTTAAATTGAATGGCAATTTCATATGCACAAACAGTCAATAGAAAAGAACCTTAAAAAGAGTAACAAATGTCTTCAGAGTCCAGCAACCTGCTTGATCAGGCATCACTGAAACGCAGGAACATGGTCAACTTTTTAATGCAAAAATCCTGTGGTTTTCCATGGTGGCAGAACTTCGGAGTTCCTCCTAGGGCATGGGCTCCACACTGTCATCTCTCTGTCCCTCCGTTCGACATCCCCACGCAGTACTGACTGTGTGTTGCATAGGCTGGGAAGAGGGGGTCTTGTTTCTTTGTTCTCTGGATCCTTAGGACGGTCAGGCGTTTTTTCAGCCAAAAATGAGGCTGAGAAGAATCTTAGTTTATCTTATTCTCTCAGAGTTACTTAGGAAGCCAAAAACGGGGAGAGGGTGTGTTGGTTGTTGACCAGAGCACAACAAGATGGAAAGAGGTAGCAGCACTTGGATTCCGTGAGACTACTTGGACAAGATGGGACGCGAAGGTTGCTTTGCTGGATCAGGGCAGGGTGCCACGGTGCCCCGACAGTCAGTCCTTTCTTTGGACAAGGAAAGATTTCACACTTTCTAGGCTCCTGGGGCGGCCACGAACGGCTTTAACGCATGACATATAATGAAACGAAATCGGAGTTGTTCGGGATGCTTTAATCGGTGTTACATTAAAATAAACGAATACATTCTTATCTACTTCCCTCCACCAACTGCTGTTTTGTCAAATTCGAAGGATCCCTGGGAGTATCATGACCCCCGAGAGCCCATCAGGTTTGCGAATGAAGCAGAGAAGGCAACGTTTCTTCAGCGAAGACTCACTTGGGTTTCAAAAGGCAGGATGTGGCACAGACTGTGCTCTTCTGTTGACTGGAATGGAAAACTGGGAAGTAACGGAAGAAAGAAGTTCGCTCTAGTGCCACTGTTCCCTTGGCAACGGTGGCACAATCCTAGGGGCAGAAATTAATTTTATGACCCAACACAATCCAGCCGAGGGAGGGTGGGGGACGTGTAGCGGAAGAGAAAGAAAACACAGGCTGGACCTGGATGTAGGCGCTCAGAGGGCCAGCTGGGGAGGCTACGAGCCAATGAACCAGCTGTCTGAGTTAAGCGCACCAAATAAGCAATTGCACTTGTTTTTTGTTTTTTTTTTTTCACTGAAATTTTCATATTTTGTGGAGACAGCCACAACTCCCTCCCCTTTGGTCAAGAAAAAACGCTGCACGGATCTGTCTGGCTTAGGGCTTCTGCGGATCGTTCCTGGTCATTTACAACTTCCTTTTCTTCCTCTCTTCTGGGAAACAGGAAGGAAATACCTTGACTAGAAAAGACAAGGAATGGTGTGGTTGTAAAAAGCACATTCTGTTCAGAGTTAACTGGTAATGCGTCAGCTTTCTGCTAGCGACCTGTCTCCCCCACCCCTGTCGTTAAGGTTTGATTGGGGTCATGGAGTGGGAAACCGTGTTGAGGCTGTGGGGTGGGTCTCAGATCTCTCCTGGCTCCAGGCCCTGCGCAAAGTTAAACCACCGAATCAGATCAGGGCCGGAGCTTTGAAAGGAAGGTTTGTTATAGAAAAACTCGCGGCTCATCCAGAGTTCCAAAATTCCCCCGGTACTTAGAAACCACGTTACAGAAAAGTCGGCCAGCTGACAAGACAGAGTGGGAAAGTACAAGTAAGTGTCTCAGTCTCAAAACCTGAATTCCAGTAAAGCTTAGGCGGCAGGTCCCAGCAGAGCTGTGATGTGCCTGTTAAGTGCAGAGGCTTTCTGGGGGCAACGCAGAGCCAGAAGGGGCAAGGGGCAGTCCTTCTTGCACGCTGTGGTCGGACAGGTCCACCGGTCGTGGCTAGCAGCACTCAGAGGGTTAAGAGCACACGGGGTGAGTGGGGAACGTCTCTCAGGAATCATGGCTCGTCTTCACCTCTCCTGCTCCTGGAAGTAGGCGTGCCATTGAAGCCAGGGACGACTCCCTGCTCGGGACTCCCAGAGGAAAGAGCTTTCCTCTGTCTTCCGAAGGCAAGGCAGGGGCGTTAGTGACACATTCTGCTCGTCATCTCTTTCTGGAAAGCAGTGAGAGAGGGATGGTTAGGAGGAACAATAAGCAAGGCCTTGCTGAAGGATTCCAAAAATACCCTCACCACCTCAGGAGCCTTTGAACAAGGACTTGCCAGTACGGCCCATGGAGAAGGCTCAGCATGGACATGAGTTCCATTTGGTCTGCAAGTTTGGGTTTGGGGTTTCTGTTCTGATCAAGCAATGTTAAAAATAACAACAAAACACTCGGCTAACTTGCTGAAACTCAGGTTATGGAGTTGACAGCTGGACAGCTGGACAGCTGGAGTTGAAGAACGGCTGTCCTCTTCAGATGGAGACGTGCTCTCCAGTTGGCCCCAGTCCCCACTACTCCCAGCTGTCTCCCCAACAGGAGCCAAGCATCACTTACTGATGGATGCGATCACTGGATTTAGATTGCTGTTTTTCTTACAGAAGAGAATAGTTTCTCTTTATCTACGTTTCAAACAACGATAGAAAGATGAAGGATAGAGGGGTGCCTGGGTGGCTCAGTGGGTTAAGCCTCTGCCTTCGGCTCAGGTCATGGTTCCGGGGTCCTGGGATTGAGCCCCGTATCAGCTTTCTGCTCGCTGGGGAGTCTGCTTCCCCATCTCTCTCTCTGCCTGCCTCTCTGCCTACTTGTGATCTCTCTGTCAAATACATAAATAAAATCTTTAAAAAAAAAATGAAGGATAGCACAAGTGGGTATAAGACAAGGGAAATGGGAGGGAGGACTTTTCTGAATGGGCATGAATACACCAATGCGTCTGACCTGCTCCCACCTGGCCTTTCCCTCATCTCCATCACCTGCTTGGCTCCTGTTAGGATTTGCAGACCCCACATGTGCCATCTTTTCTCTTTCTCTGGACCGCTGCAGAGGTGAGACTCTTGCCTGTGGCATGCTCCTCCCCTCTCTGCCCTCCTGAACTTATCTAACTGCCATTCATTTCCCCAGCTCAGGCAAGAGGACTTTCAGGATGCCTGGGAGGCCCTCCGCTGTTCCTGCCCCCCACACTGTGGAGTTCACCGCTTCTTCCACCGGGGCCAGCCTGGAGTCTTGCTTACAGTGAGCTGGTTTATATGTGTGTGTGTGTGTGTGTGTGTGTGTGCATGGACCGTGGGCATGTCTGCGGGCCCTACTAGACAGTGAGTTACCGTGTGTCAAGAAAAGGAACCCTCATGGGCTCACCACATGTGCACTCGTCTTGTCTCCCTTGCCCCAAACAGTGCCTGGCACAGGACGGCCACTCGGCTTTCAGCTCCAAGAAGGGCCTGGAGGGCAGGCTGGGAAGGAGCCCTGTGCCAGGCAGCATCCGGGGGGATACGCTTAACATAATTTATGTAGATGAATGAGCTGCTTGCAAGTCCCACCTCCCGCAGAGCTGATGGCAGCTGCCCCCCTCTCTCACATGTTCACCCCGGATCACCCCAGCCCATGGAAGAGAAAACATCGGAGCACAAGGAGTTGGAGAATAGGAGTTCCCAGGTGCATAGAGACTATCAGAAAACCATACCAATGTGTGGGTTAAAGAAATGACCGAATATACATGGCATATTCTAGGTACTTTTGCATCCTTGTAATATTATTAAATACAGGCAATCACATACAAATTCATATACTGAAACACGAAATGACCATTTCCTTCTCGTGACTTGTACTACGTGCCAGGTACCTGGGAGATGAGGTTGCTGTCTGCAAGGAGCTACAGTCCATCAGAGAGAAAGAAATGTGGATCACTAGAAGGCACACTAAAAGACAAGACACAAATGCAAATATCTGGAGGAAGGGAGACCATGAGGCATGGTAGCTCCAAGTTCCAGCCACCGTTAGAACCCACTTCTGCCCTCTTTACCTACCCATATGACCGCCCTGAGTCTTTGGGTCTTAGCAGACTTGCCTTTTCTTTAGGGATCCCCTCCCTAGGCTCTGAGATAGGCATATCCCTCTTTCCTGCCTTTCATAGCACCCTTCTTCACACCTGGAATAGCCCATTATTTCTTTCATTCCGGCTTCCCAGCCAACCCATTTTAGATCCTATATGACCCACAAAGGAAGGGGCTGTGTCTGCTCTATTCCCAGTATGTGGCAACTGATATTCAATAGATGTTTGTTCAATGAAGCAATGAATGGGCCCTCAGTCTCCTCATCTGTAAAATGGAACGGTGAGACTACCTGAGACGGTTACTTTTAACCGGGAAGGTTAAAAGTATTAAGATATGTCCAGACTTGATGCACATTAATTCCTTCCCCTCAGAAACACATACATGGCAACAATCACTTCATGCCATGGCAAGAAGGGGCTTCAGAAGACCTCCCTGATAATATTTCCATTTAGATGGACCCCAAAATTTAAAGAAGGAGTCAGATGTTGTGAGGTGGGGAGAAGAGGACTAGATAGCCAGGGGGAAGAGCGGCCAAGGCAGAGCCCTCCATGGTCTGGTGTTGCTGTGGCTGGAGCAGAGGAGCCAGGCCAGGAGCGAGGTGTGGGTTGGAGAGACAGGTAAACACACATGCCCAAACACAGACCCATGCTCCTGGTGTGGGGACTGGAAAGGAACGAGGACAATCTTAAAATGAATTTGCTGTCCCTTTGATAAGCTTCCAAAAGTCCTCCTGCTTTTGGTTAAGCTTTGATGACAAAGATGGGGAAAATAAGGTGGGAGTGCAAATGTGCACATGTGCATGAGTATTTGAGTCAGCAAGAGAGACAAGTGGTGGGGGAGAGATCACAGCCTGAACACGATTTGGCCTCATAACGAATTCTGTCCTTATTTGCAATGGGTTACTACTCTGGAAAAGAAAGGAACTAGCATCTGTGAAGCACCTCTGAGGAGCCAGGTGTGTGGTGGGGGCAAGGGGAGGTGTTACACCATCGTGTCTGTAAAACTCTAAGAGAAGGAACTATGACCCCACTGGAGAGCGGAGGGATCCAGGCTTCAGAGCAGAAGGGACCTGCTCAAGTAAAACAGGGAAGCTGCAGAGCCTGACCAGTAACAGCCACTTCCATCCAACAAAGCGCAGCTCTCCCTTGGTCCCTCAGAGCTCTGCAGAGATCCCATCCCATAACTCTTACACTCACACTGTGAAATGAGACTGGTTGTGCTCACTGAAACAGGCTCAGAGACAGAGAGTATCTGATCAAAGTCACACAGAGAGGGGCGGGGGTGGGACTTAAACTCCGGTCTAACCAAAGACAAAGGCCAGCTCTTTCCGCTTACGCCACCAAGTGATCTGTGGTTGAAAGCCTCTGAGACATTCTTATGAAGATACACTCCGATGGTACTGACGCACATTAACTGACATATACTCATTATAAATGGTTACAGTTATTCCCAGATTTTCAAAATGATGAAGATGTGTTTTCATTACCCAGATGGATGCCACTTGGAATTACAGGTGCACTGAGTAAATACTAAAACAGTTATGCCACTAGAAATATGGAAGAGTTAAGCACACAGAGACACACACACAGACACACGTACACAAGGCAGCACTTTGATAGAGGGCATGGGACTTAACGAAAGCCACTGACTTAGTCTGTGAGAAGCCAGGACTGGTGCTTTCCTCACTGCAAATGCTTTCTCGCCTCCAAATGAAGGAGAAAAACTGTCTACTGGGATGTCTCCTAACATTCTTACAGGGAAAGAATGGCTGAAATAGCAGACCAGGAATTCCCAGATCCTTCCGTGTGAGGACAGCTAGACCTACTCTTCAAAGCTGTATTCTAGCACTTTCCCACTGGGTGGTGCAAATGAGCTGGGCAAGAAATAACTGGTGCTTGTGGGGAAAACTCCAAACCAAAAAGCTGGCCAATATTGTCTTCCAAAGCTTTCGTCATCATAAGCCCTCCTGAAGGCACCTAGCAGAACCAAACACATTCCTTCTTATCCCAGAGAGTGGCCTAAACAACATCTACCCAGGTTGTTCTTTTTTTTTTTTTATTATTAAAGATTTATTTATTTATTTGACAGAAATCACAAGGAGGCAGAGAGGCAGGCAGAGAGAGAGGAGGAAGCAGGTTCCATGCTGAGCAGAGCCCGATGCGATGCGGGGCTCGATCCCAGGACCCTGGGATCATGACCTGAGCTGAAGGCAGAGGCTTTAACCCACTGAGCCACCCAGGTGCCCCTACCCAGGTTGTTCTTAAAGAATGAATTTGCAGTTGTTGGAGTGATCGAAGTGTAACGTGTGTTAAGGCAGACCACTGAAGAATGCCAGAAGTGCTCAAAAAGCTTCTCCAGAGATGATGACAATTTTCTGAGACAGGTTCATAGGGACTGTATTTAGCTTGTCTAGGAAGATGTTTTTAAGCACCTGCATTAAAAAAAAAAAAAATCCATCCTTAATAAGGAAAGGAGTAATAAGGAAAAGCTGGGTTTTGTTTGGCTAACCCAGTATTATTTGCTTTAAAGTAAGGAAGTAATTGATTTTGTAAAGTCCCTGGTTCCCCACTGTCAATAGAACAAATTCCTTACTCCAGGACCTGGCAAACAAAGCTGTTCACAACAGAGACTGGTGCCCTCTGCTCACCTCCTGTTGAACCCCACCCACTGGCAACCTACCACCCCCACCCCCCCCACCCCGCCACTGCAAACTGGACTCCTCCCCTGTTTCCCACAGGACACAGTCTCTTGAGGTTTCTAATAGTTTTTCTGGCTGTTCCTTCTATCTGGGAAATGCTTTCTGCTCTTCTGTGCCTGGCAAATACTGACATCCTTCAAGATCCAACTGTCAGCTCCCAGAAAGGATTCATTAGCAAGCTGCTCAGTTTTTCCCGTTGCACACACACACCGTATCACTTTCTACCAGCACTGGAATTCATCATTAAGTTTTTGCCTAAACCTGAGAAGACCCTTACAACTTTGTTGTACATTAGTATGTGATGGAAATATTTTGGTCAAGTCATTGAACAGTATATATAGTTTGATATAATTATTTTGGGAAAAAATAGGAACAAAATATGAGTCCATTGTGATGAGTTTATCTCTGGGTGAATGAAATGATGTA